CCCCTTTCTCCACAGCCTCGCCAACATTTGTTGTTGTTTGTCTTTTGGATGGCAGCCATCCTTACTGGTGTGAGGTGATACTTCATTGTAGTTTTAATTTGCATTTCTCTGATAATTAGTGATGTGGAGCATCTTTTCATGTGTCTGTTGGCCATCTGTATTTCTTTTTTGGAGAAATGTCTGTTCAGTTCCTCTGCCCATTTTTTAATTGGGTTATTTGTTTTTTGTTTGTTGAGGAGTGTGATGTTGTATTCTTTTTAATGTGTCATGTAAAGAGGCACATGATATCCCTTACCCCATTACTGGTGATATTAGCTGGGATTAGTTGATTATAGTGATGGCAGCCAGGTTTCTACTCTCATGTAGCTTTTTAGGCATCTTAATCAGATAATGTGAATTTTAGAGATACAGCTGAGGGAGTCAATAATTAAAAGGACAGCCTGGAAGATAAATAAGTAATTTTATCCTTTTTGATGCTCTAAAATAGACACTTCTATTAAGACAGACCATAAGAAAACCATGAACCCAGACCAAAACAGGGTTGCTATGTATAGGATTGCTTTACTTGATTGTGTTTGGTTCTGTGCCATTGGACTCTGTTGTATAATAAAGAATTTATTTGTTTTTTGTTCCAAGATCCTGACAAAACTTCTAAAACCCTTGGAATTTCTCAAGGGATAAGAGTGTCTTTGTTACCATCAGCTCCCTTGGACCACACGTAAGGTTATGCTAATGAGGTGGCTCAGGATGAAGGCTGGCCACCAGACAGACCAACCATGTGATTACAGGGTTGGGGCTTTAAGGCAGCCTGACCTCCAGGGAGGGCAGGGAGGCTGGAGATGGAGTTTTCAATCATGCCTATGTAATGAGACCTCAGTAAATACTCTGGACATGAAGCTCAGTAGAGCTTCCTGGTGAAGCCATCCATGTGCTGGCATGGTGACATGCTCAGATTCCACAGAGAGAGGACACAGAAGCTCTGCACTTAAGACCCCCTCAGACTCTGCTTATGCAATTCTTCATTTGGCTGGTCCTGATTTGTATCCTTTATAATAAAAGTATAGTCATAAGTACAGTGCTTTTCTGAGTTCTGTGAATTATTAAACTTGAGGTGAGGGAGTTGGTCATGGGAAGCTCCTGGATTTGTAGACAATTGGATAAAAGTGCAGGTGGCTGGGGGATGTGACTTGTGGCTGGCATCTGAAGTGAGGGCATTCTTAGGTATGGTGCCCTTTAACTTGTAGGTCTGTGCTAATTCCAGGTGGTTATGCCAGAGTCAAATGGCAGTTGGTGTCAGAATAGGCTCTTACAGAAGGACTGTTATGTAGTTCGTAATGATACTTGAATTTGATAACAAAGTTTCAAATAAGAATGTTCATATATATGTATATAAAAGGAGTTATATACATATATGTAAATATGGATTACAAACATCCATCAATTAAACTTTACACGAAAAAAATTAAGTTGTTACAAAGTAGTTGTATTTCTCATTAATTCCTTAGCAGAAATACTGATCCAAGGTTACATTAAATATTCTGACCTTACATGTTTATATTTTAGTAGTTTGCCAAACATCTACTTAAATAAAGCTTGCATTTGATCTTGCCATTTTATTTGATAAAAATGATGAGTAATCGGTAGGAATTGTTCTTAAGAGTTCATTGTGAAAGTTTATTTAACCATGGTTTTTATTTTTTTCCTTCTAGATTGATATGTGAGCATATTAAAGTTTGTGAAAGATTTCTAGGGATGGAAAGAACTCAAGAGGTCCAAAATTTGTTACCATATCTTTGGTAAGAATTATACTCAAACCATTGCAGGAAAATGTTATCTTGGTGTTAGAATAGAAAGTATAGTGAAACTGAATGACTCAGTATCCCTCTTGCTCAGCTCTTGATGACTAAGTCATCCACAACTGGAGTCCTTCTTCAGACTTCTCCCTAGATCGTGAGGCAGTGAGGGCAGCAAGGGCATGCTGAGTGGGGTGAGCCTTGGGACTCCCCCTTCAGGAAGGGGAGACATCCCTTGAACCCATTACTTCTACAGGGAGGTATTTTCTGGGCCCTTCACAGAGGTTCTCGAGCTAAGGCAGTGTGGAGCAGTACCTGATTTTGTGATCTGAATGCACACTTTCCCTCAGGGGTTCTGGGCTTTGCTTGTAGACCTGGACATTTTTGGTGGAATAGAGAAGTAATGAACTGAATGTTCTTGACCCGCTGTCTGTACAAACCCATGGGGAGTCTGCGACAGAGACGGATGGTCTAGTTACTCGTGGGAAAGAAAGGAAAAGATATGGAATACCTACTCTGTGCTAGGAATGAGTATCATCTCGTTTAATTATTAACCCAAGATTGTGGAGTGAATTTCTTCAATTCCTTTGCTGATTCATTTATCATACAAATATTTCGTGAGTACTGTGAGAAGTGCTGGAACTCGGTGGGCCTTGCCATATGGTTCTGGGTATTTCATCATTCATATTACTTTCACTGAATTTTAATTAATTTGAAACTTCACAATATTTCTGCAATAAAATTAATATATTAAGAAGATAACAAATAAAATATGTAGGAGGTAGGATAGAAAGAAGAAGAGCAAATGGTCTACCTCCTAACATTTCCACTTAAAGGAAGAGAATGTGAAAAAAGAACAAAAACCAACTTTTTAAAATCTTTTTTTTAATGGCCCATATCAGGCCTTGCCATCACTTTTGTTACCTAATAATACTTGGCCTATGAATCTTTCCCTTCATCATATTCCAGTGAACTTTATTTCAAGATCAGCCTGTCTATTTTACAGGACTGATCTCCTTCCAGGCTTCAGATGGGAAATGTCAGCCCTCCTGTCAACATCCTTAACATTTAAATTCTTGGGATACCAAAGATACTCTAAGAGAACAGACAGTAATGGACTGTACACATTACTCTCCCAAGTGCTACTGGAAAGAGGCAAGATGAGAGCTTCCCAGCCATTTTTTAACAGCAAAATAGGCTAAAAAAATGATGATACAAATCCAGAATCATCTTTTTGCTGAAGATTTTAGCAGACATATATAAAACAGAGAGAAATAAGATTTATAATGCTTATAGAAAACCTCAGTTGATTTTCAATCCATACCATTGAGACCCACCAGGCATTCTGTGCTTTGGAGATACTCAGCTTCTTTATCAAAAGGACACCAAATTTACTGATATGACAAAGGCCACATTTGCCCAAGTGTGGGTGTTTCGGGATATGCTAAAATGTGGCACTCTCCCAAAAGGCATCTCTGCAGAAGTCTGTCCTTCAGCCTGGCTCGCTGTGGCTGCCTGAAGCACGAACATGACTTTCATGTTAAATCAGCTCCCAGTCATTATGTTTGAGTGTGCGAACTCGTCCTGTGATTTTGTACGCCTAAGTGCTCCTTAGCTGACTCACAAGAAATTTTTGAGGTTATTTGCTGTGTCATGAAGAATCATCCCCAGTTTTGCCAGTGTGCAGAACACTTTGATCTGGAGAGCAGGGTTTACTGTGACTTGTGGGTGCTAACATTAAGCATGGCCCAGAGGCACACAGACAGGCAGGAAACAGGGGAAGCAGAACTCAGGAAAAGATGACATTTCAGGACTGATGAAAAATATTCTGGGTGAGTTGTTCGGGGATTGAAGGGGACTGGTGGTGGACTTTGCATGCACCATTATGAAAAGGCTGCAGAGCTGGGAGCTCTTTTTTTGGGAGAACAAGACCTGAGGAGGCTGCTGAAGAAATACTGTATCTGTCACAGCCAGAAGAATAGTATGCTGCCATTTGGACTCTAGTGACAGGGATGAAAATGAGTTTTTGTGAAAGACATATCAGAGTCAATAGGCAGGAGCTTGGCTGTGGCAGGAAGGCTGAACCAACCAAATTGAGACAATTTGCTGAAAGAAGTGAAATTCCCAATAATGCCTCAAACAGAGTGTGTACCTGTGTGAGAAAAGTGGGGTCTTAGCAGAAAGATGGGTGAGCTCAGTCCTCTTAGTGTTAACTTTGAGCAGCTGGTGAGGTCTCCTGGTGAGAATACTGTGGAAATAGTTGGATAAATTACTGCCCAGAGGGAGACAGTGACTTTCAGATTTGTACGGCCATTGGATCCGGACCATGGGCTCGCTGCTTTTTCTTTTATAACTTAACATGGCTCAATGTGACCTTCTTGCTCTGTATTGCCATTGCATGTGATCAAGCCTGAGCCACGGGTGAGAAAATTTGTATGAGGTTTGCACTGGATGACATATTTCAATAGAACTCTAGTAACTAAAAATAGAGTGTAACCCATGGTTTGCCTGTGGCCAGCTTGTGTGGAACTTCTGGATTTCTGTTTATCAACAGGTTGCAACTTGGTGCACCTGGAAAAAATTTGAACCCATTATTACTTGCATGCCAGTCAGAGAATGCCCATCTCACATAGGACCGTTACTGAGGGTTGAATCATGATAACACTAATAATTCTTGTATTTCCAAGGCAAGTGTACAGAAAAATCCCAAAAGCCTTGGATAATTGCCCACAAAATGCTCTAGTGAGGAAGGAAGGTGGAAGAAACTATTTCCCTATATTACCTGGAAGAGGTAAAGACACAGCTTAAGTGAAACACCCAAGGTCAGACAAGAATGACAGCCTGACTCCTTCTCACGTATTTCAAAAGCTGGATTTCCCAACTCTGATCTTGTTTTCTGTATGAATAATGTGCCTTGAAACCTGTATTCTGAGACCACCTGCTCAATCCAATCTCAGGGAGCTTCTAACAGGCATTAAATGGGAAAAGAATATCTTTCAGGGGCCAGAGAGATCACTTATTGGAGGAAACTAAATCCTTGATAGGAAACATACCCTGAGTTGTTGGGGTCCTGGGGAATACAAGCTGGGTGATGCTCAAATTAGTTTATACACACACACACACACACACACACGAGTACATGTTTGTATGCAACATGGGTACACACACATCTTTTCCCAAAACTGTTCAGAAATTCATACAGAGTCCTTAGGTCTTATTTCATGAGCTACCTTAAGGATCATTTGAGAGTCAGTTTAAAAACACTTGCCATAGGACAGGGCACATCAATGTGGGGCAAGGAGGAGACAATGGAAAACCCAATCAGCAGACAGACATGTGAATGTGAATTTGAGAGAGCAAATATGGCCAAGTGCCAGCACTCTAGGGAGCAAATGATGCCTTTTAGGCCAGTGAAGCCTGGGGCAGTGCTGATGGTTTATGGAAGACCACTATGCCAGTAATGGCTATTCTCAAAATTGGATTCAGGTTCTAATACAGTGACCGAATGTTGTGGTCGCTTTTGAGCATAAACTTTATATATATTCAAAGGCAAGATCATTATCCCAATACCTCTTTAGAAAATATGCTGCCTGATGATAAAGGAAGAGAGTATTTTTATTATTTTAAATTAGGTTTCAGATACTGTTTTAGTCCTCTCTCTTCAAATAGCCTCCTTTCGTCTTTCCAGCTCATGCCCAGTCTATAGCTCTATATGAATAATGTGTGCTGAGACCTATAGTAAGTGATTACCTGCATGTATCAGAGAGCTGTCATGGACATTCAGGGGCCAAACTACTTTAAGGCGATAGTAGTTATTTTTATAGGAAAAGAGATTCAGATTAAAGCAGTCCTCTCCCAAGACAGCTGGTATTTCCAGTCCTCTTTTGATTTCCGGGAGAAGGAGATCTTTTGTTGGTTATTGTGAAAATCTGCCAGAGATCACAGAAATCCTGCATATATTAAACTTTAGCTCCCAGAGATAAATCTTAAAACTATTCATAAGGGTCTTTATTTTTTTTGTCCCTGTTTGATGTTTTCTGGGCTATTTATGACAAAAAGGGCTTCCATCATCCAGAAGCCCACTGTTTAAGAACCTTTTGCTGGAAAATGCCAAACAAGTGGAAGGAAAGTGAAAAATTAGATCTTCCAGAAGTTTTCAACACCATTATTTGGCAAGTAATAACACTGACATGGGCCTTTTGCATTATCTTCTAATTTTATACCTTTGTCCCTGCTCCCACTGGAACATATGTTCTCCTGTGGAATAGTGGGGCTTAACGACCCCTAAAAGATGACTTAGCCCAGATTTGCCATGTGTCACTGGGACCTCAGGAGGGTGAGGACATAGAACCAGCTGCCTGGGTGTGAATCTGTGTTCACCTCTGACTCAATGTGTGACTGTGGGCAACTGACTTAGTCTTCCTGTACCTGGGTGTCTTTATCCACCAAAGAAAGGTAATATTAATCCCTGCCTTCTATGGTTGCTGGGAGAGTACAAAGAGTTTCCAAATGCATAGTATTAGAGTGCATGTGGCTGGGTTCACTGAGATCACTGTCATCATTTTAGCTGTTCCCAGTGTCTTACTTAATGACTGATTTAAATCTGTGGCCTCTCTTCCAGCAATTTTCTGAAGTTCTGGAGTACCTTCTTGGCCTACAGCTCCCTTTGTTTTCCTTGGGAGTGTGTGTTGTGCAGAATGCAAATGCGATTACTGGAATAAAATATAACTTCAAAGCTTACAAATAGCCACGTGTTTCTTTAATATGTAGCATTAAACTAGTCCAATAAATAGTTGGTCAGTTCTTCCATTAGGACCAACTTTTGTTCTTCATCATCCTCGAGGATTTCATTGATAAACTGTGGCTCAGGCAGAGCTTGTATTCTTGCACAAACACACTCAGCCCCCTGTGGAAGGTAGCTTCTAAGAGCTGGGGGAGCATCTGAGTAAACTTTCTTGATCAGTTGGGTCACAAGCTACCAAGAGTATGTCTGCACCCCCTTGTCAAAGCCTCACTTAGGTGCTGTGAAGACGCTTTGCTTGCTTTCATGTAGAAGAACTGACCGTACAGTGAAGAGCTATAAAGCCCAACTCTGGAAAGCCAGACCCATTCAGTCATAGCTTCCTTAGAGGCAGCTCTGGGAAAGGCTGGGGACTGGGAGGGTTTGCCTCCTGGCTCCAGCTCCCTCCCCCATTCTTGCTACTCCCCAGCCCGCTCCATGCTGGCCCCCTAGAGCTGCCTAGGGCTCTGCATTTGCCCTGATCTCATCTTCCATCCAAACCAAAGTGCCTTCTTGCCTGCCCCCTTGGGAATCTGCTAGGAATAATCTGATAAACTAATTCTAGTTGCCATGGATTTCATGTACGTGTGTGTGTGTGTGTGTGTGTGTGCATGTGCATGTGCAGAAGCACAAGTGCAGGGTTGCGAAGGATGTTAATAATTGAGTTTGTTAAGCTCCCAGATTTAATTTACATTTTAGTAAACATCGGTGAAGTCTTAATCCAAAAAGAGAATCACATGGAGGGGCACAGTGTCAGAATCAGGAGGGGAAACTTGTCCAAGGAGGCTGTTTCTACTGCCCCTCAGGTCCTAGGACATTGTCAAGAGTGGTTCAAATATTATGTTGGCTTTAACAGTGATGTTATATATCACATGCTGCATATACCAAGTCCGAAGGTGCTGATTGACTAAGCTTCATGACTATTGGTTAAAAATCTTTAGATGTTGTATTGAAGGACAAAACCTTAAAGGTGGTGGGGAGACACATGGTCTCAGAGTTCTGAAGGGCTCTCAGTCTTGCTTTGCTTAGCAGAATCACTGAGGAATGTGCTATATTCCCAGCACCAATGGTGGCTGTGCCGTTCTGCCCTCCATCCTCGCTCCACAGGCATCCAGCTCAGGGGAAGATTTTGATGAGGACACAGGTGTCCTTCTGGCTCCTTCATCTCTGGTTAAGAGTCACTCACCTAGATCAACTGGCTTTGAGTCCTAGCTATGGCACTTGCCACTGAAGGAGTTTGGATAAGTTATTTAACCCCTTCTAGTTTTCTAAATCTGCAAAACAGGACAAAAATATCTAACTCATAGTGTTGTTAAGATGACATGACATAGTATATGTAAATTGCCTGCTGCCTTGTAGATATTCCTACAACCATTAGTTTCATTTCCTACATAGTCAATTTCCACATGGCAGAAAGGAGGCTTTGGGAGGTTAAATGATTTACTCCAGACCAACACAAAGATATTTCTATTTATCAGTAAGCAGTATTTTACCAATTATCCTCATTGGCAAAATTGACCCCCAAAAAGGTATGTTTACCATTCATGCTCTTTCTGGAAAGACAGAGAGCATGTTTTGGTCTGTGACATGTTCTTCTCAGGTCTCAGGGTAGCTGTGAGTTTTCGGGCCAGCAAGTTCTAACAAATTAGGTCCAACACAAGTATAGTAATTTTGCCACAATTGTTACTCGGCTGGAAGTTGAGATGAGACAACCAAGTATATAATTTTCATGTTTCAACTTTTCTGCACTGCCTTACTATCTTTAAATAGAAAATAATGTACAAACAAAATGTTAGGCACTTTTTTTTATTCCTACTCTTCTCCCATGAGGTCCCTTCATTCCTCTCAGTCTCCATGGTGGCTCCAAATGCTGCTTTCAACTGTTATGGGCCAAAGTTCCCATCGGCCTGCTTTCCCTGTCCTCCTGATATTTACAGGTGCTGATTCTAAATGCAAAAATTCCTATTTACTAGTGTAATTACCCAATTTATATGCACAAAGGTGGACTGTCATTCACAAAAATTAATGTAGCTCCAAATACCACAGGTGAGG